GGAAAGGAAAAAAACCAAACCACCAACAACAATAACAAAATAACAAGGGCCGGAGCAAAACAGCCACCTGTTCAACAGTTCCTACCTGTGCAATGCATGACCTTGAGGATGCCCTTTGAGTTGTGCAGCCGTTCACACTCTCATTTTCTGAGTCATAACCTCCTTCCCTAGTGTGAACTCCCTGATCCCTAAGTGTTTTCTCTCACTTCACAAGTTGCCGTTGTCCACTTGATCCCCTGTAAAAAGTTCTTTAAGAGCACACAGTGCTGCAGGCAAACATATTTTTAGTTAAACTATTGTTTGGTGTGAGGAAGACTTCAGGGGGTATATTATATATGTATATATAATCATTTTATTGGAGGCTCTTACAAATCTTATAACAACTTATCATTCCATTTTATTAAGCAGACTTGTACATATGTTGCCATCAACATTTCCAAAATATTTTCTTTCTCCTTGAACTCTGGGTGTCAGCTCCTCTTTTCAGGGGATATTTGTGGTTTAAGATTTAAAGAGCATCTCAGCGCATTAGGTTCAGGGGTTCAGTCAGTCTCCAAAGCTCTAGAACAGCCTACATAGCACGAGGATCAGAAAGAAAAATGCACCAAGGAAAAAGTATAACTTTGCAGAGGGCATGATACTGAGCAGGTAAAACGTTGACTTCATCGATGGTCCGGGAATGGAAACACTTATTAATGTTCTTCTCGCCACACCCTACAAAGGTTGCGAATCAATTCAGCGTTTTGCTTTGTTCCAAGCTTTCCAATCAGTAGTTCCCTAAAGTCTCCATCCGGATTGCTGCTGCCAATGAAGCAAAATAAAATGGGTGTCTGGCTTCTGCTTTAAGTTCTAATCAAGGCCAAATAGAAGATGCTTGATTTGGGGATTTTAATCATTTATTTTCACAAGCAGCATATTTTCCATGGAACTCACCAGATGAATTACATGCAAACCGTAGCTCCCCAAATAAGCAAGGAAAATTATCTACAATATGGAACGTCTGGCCACAGAACAAGTGGGCTCTGGAAGACAGCTGCCAGGATCAATGACATGAAGTAATTCATCATGACGCTGAGGCCCACATGGGAACCGTCTGCACTCGCTGCACGGGCTGACATCTCCCAGGCAGTGATAAGTCTGTGGTTGTCCAGAGGGCTCCAGACATGTCCCTGGCAGAAATCAAAGACACACCGGATCTTAGTGAAGCACGGACAAGCCTCTCCTCAGAAGACAAGTCCAGAAAAAGGAGTTTCTTGTTTTAAAAGATAGCTTTCTCACAGGTCCGGGTGCAGCTTCTTCTAGGTTTTTGCTATGGACCCTATGCAAAGGAAAGTTGTATTTTTCATCATTGCTACATCGCACCTACATGCACACACACACACACACACACACACACACAAAGAAAAAACAGAAACAAACCCTGACGGCATCATGGAAAACCAACCCAGAAGTCAACCCACTGCTAGATGATGCAAGGAATTTCCTTTTGCCGCTGAGGATACGAGAGCGGTTAAAACCAAAACTAAGCCATTATCTTGAATAAATCCCGACTCAGTGACTCTTCACAGGGTTTTCGAGCCTGTCCAGCTGTGTGGGAGCAGACAGCCTCATCTTTCTCCCCTCAGCAGCTGGAGGGTTTGAACTGCTAACCCTGCAGTTAGCAGACCAATGTTTAGCCCACTGTGCCACCGCCACCAGCCCTACTTAGATGATAGATGCAGAGGGTAGACTCCTACATGGTGCCACCCTCAGAAGACAAATCACTGCTCTGCTCCAATTATTCTACTTTATAAGATATAATGGAAGGATATTTTTCTGACACCAAAGAAGACTTGATTAAT